GATATATATATATATATAGATATATATATATATAGATATATATATATATATACACTCAAGTGGTCTGCTTTGTCTCACTGAGTTCCTGATTTGAAAGAACCGGACGTGGCTTTATAATAGAATAAAGCCTTTAGTAGTGTGGAAATGGCTAGAACTGTGTTTGAAAACTAAATACATTCGAAAAGTGGTAAAAGCTAAGTAAGTTGTTTAAGAGCCTTCTCACCCGTTTTTTCAAAATTGACCAAAGATTTATCTTTCACGAAATGTTTGGCTATAGTAATGTTTGTTTGGAACACGCTTTTCCCTTCAAACATAAACCGGATGTGATGTTCGTCATTCGGCGCTATCCTCTTCTGCCTGCGTGGTGGGTCATTGATCGATTAATCTGGTCTGTTCTCTGATGTGTTGTTGATGCTAGCCCCTGCTGCTTCGTCGGGTTTATGCGAATATTTATCAACACACAGCCGGTGATTATATTTGACCATCATTTCTGTTGGATACATAAACACCGGGCCCGACAGAAAGCATGTCCACCGCCCTGGAGAGCTACATTAACCGTATCCTGTTGCTGCAGCCCCTAGCCGGCTAGCATGCTATCTGCCCATGTGAATGAATGAACAAATGCTCGTTAGCTTAGCTTTCAAGCAAGGAGCGATATGTGTGCAGTGTAGCGTCTCTGTTGTAATTCAGTAATGTGTTAAAGGTTACTTGTGTGTTAAAACAGTTCAGTTAATTATTTATGTACAAGTTATTAACTTAAATTTAATGTTTTGTTCCAGAAAATGTTTCTTTAACTCTGTGATTCAGGTACAGTGGCCATCATCACCTCAGACGGCAGGATGATTGTGGTGAGTTTAAATCCATTCCCCAGTGGACTGATTACTGAATGAACAGGTTGCTTAACGGAATGCTAACGGATGTAGTTTTGCTGTAAGTAGGGGAACAGTTTTCAGGCCTTCCTCCACCGAGTTCTCCAAACTGAGTCCTTGTATGTTTCTGGACGAATGGTCACGTTTACTAAGGTATTTAAGGGTTTGGTGGTGCACTGGTGAAATTTCTTAACCGGTGCTCAAGTTGGATGATGGATGTTCTCTGGTTTCTGTTTTATCCTGTTTGTGATGCATTTTATTTTGTTATGACTTTTAACATTTGTTTTCCATAGTTTTATTTGTGCATTACATTCAAGTAAGTGTTTTGTTTAGTGCTGCATCCAATGATAGTGTTCATTGTCAATTAATCTAATTTTCCTATTTATTAATCATTTCTAAAGAAATGTCATTTCTGAGTACAAGTTGATGTTTTTATACACTGAGCAAAATTATAAATGCAACACTTTTGTGTTTGCCTCCATTTTTCCGAAATATTGTTCACAAATCTGTAAGTGAGCACTTTTCCTTTGCCGATATAATCTATCCACCTCACAGGTGTGGCATATCAAGATGCTGGTTAGACAGCATGATTATTGCACAGGTGTGCCTTAGGCTGGCCACAATAAAAGGCCGGATAAATGGATGGATTATCTCGGCGAAGGAGAAGTGCTTACTAACACAGATTTAGACAGGCTTGTGAACAATATTTGAGAGAAATAGGCCATTTGTGTACATAGAACAAGTCATAGATCTTTGAATTCAGCTCATGAAACATGGTGGCAAACAAAAAAGTGTTGCATTTATAATTTTGTTCAGTGTATGTGCCCAACCAAAAGTCCAGTATTTATTTTTAAATATTTTGTGATACAAGGGAAAGAACATTACACTCAACCAAAGTCAAAAGTTAGGGGAGCTGAGGTGTGTTTAGCCAAAGGCTTCACACCAAGCTACGCCTACATTCACTGAACTATGTACAGAAATAACAGTGTCAGGTGAACAGCTGTTTCCTGTGATATGTTCAGGGAACTCTGAAGGGCTTCGACCAGACCATCAACCTGATCCTGGACGAGAGTCATGAACGAGTGTTCAGCTCCAGTCAGGGGGTGGAGCAGGTGGTGCTGGGACTCTACATCGTCAGAGGAGACAACGTGTGAGTCACAGTAAATATTTACCGCTCTTTAATCCACTCACGTTTCCACCACACTGGATTTATTAGCAGTTCCATTCTGATTTTTCCCCTCTGAGCTGTGGATCATGTTGAGTTGTGCTTCGTGTACAATTCCCCAATTCATAGAGCTTTTTCAGTTACTGCCGTCAGTATTTTAACCAAATATCTGTCACAATTTTAATCATAGATATTATAAAGTACAACCAGTATTCATTGTAGCACTCTACAGGTTATTCACTGAGCTTTCCATCAAACCTGTGAGTGACCTTTGACCTTTCATCTGTGGATTTTTATTGCTTCATATGAGCTTTATGTCGGTATCAAACTGGACAATGGCAGAAAATATTGAACACAGTGACTCTTAAACAGCACATGGGTTCTGATGTGAGTCATTCTGCAGTCGAACAGACCCTGTGTGTGTGTTGTCATTTCAGGGCGGTGATCGGGGAGATCGACGAGGAGACAGACTCCACTCTGGATTTAGGAAACATCAGAGCTGAGCCGCTCAACTCTGTCGTCCATTAACCTCTGACCTTTGACCTCTGACCCCAGTTGCTGTCTCTATGGCAACAGGAGGAAGTTGGTGGCAGAGTGACACTGGAGTCTGAAACCTGGACTGATGTTAAAGTTCATCCAAAAACTCAGTGAACCGTCATGCTTGAACCTGTAGCGACGTTTTTCTGTTTGTATTTTTTATAAATAAAGACGTGATTTGCTAGAGTTGTTAGCCAAATGTTTTTATGCCACGAATCTTTTTGTCAGATTGAGATTAATAAAGCTTCACTTCTCAGATTATAGCATACTGTTTCTGTACGAACACCTGCAGTGACAAACTACACTTGACAACACTCAATTTTGGAGAAAAGAGTTTTGTAAGAATTAGTCAGAATCTGAATTTGCATGAAGCGCTGGAAGCTGCAGTTTTTATTATAGAGACTGAGAAAGATCGAAGATTCAGAGATTTGTCCTCTGTCCAAATAAAGCACAGTGAACTTTGAACCTTGTGGTCATACAAAAGTCTAAAATCACATATTAGGTTGATCTGTATACATGAAACCAGGTAAAAATGAGCTGTTCCGAAGCTTGTACACTTTAAAAGATGTGGAGTACCACAGGTGGATGAAGTACCCAGATCTTCTACTCAAGTAATAATGGTGGAAAGTAACTGAGTACACTTAAGTATAAATTGAGTATTTCCACATCCTGCTCCTTCATACTGTGACTTCATGTCAGAGACAGACCGTGTACTTTTTACTGCACTACATGTACCTGATACCTTCAGTTCCTTTCCAGAATCAGATGAATCAAACCAAACCCAGTAGAACCATCAGACTCTTATTGATCCCAGTGGGAAATCCACCAGCTATCCAGCAGGATGGAAAGTCCTTCACAGCATAAGTATATAAGGTAGTTACCATCAGCTCCACCTTTACCAGCTGCAGCATTAAAGTGATGAACACAGTAATTAGTCACTGATCCAGTATCAGGGACATTACTGGGACACGGGCCGTTCTACAGGACAAGTGCTGGTACTTCAGGTAGATTTTGATACTAATAATCAAGTACTGTTATATAAGCAAAGCTATGAATACTTAACAGTAAGTATTTTTACACTGGTACTGCTACTTTTACTGTTAAATTCATAATTGTGTGTCAGCAAATAAAAAGCATTATGCGTGTTGCTTTGGAAGCAGCAGCTCCTTCACCAACGTGTGTTTCTGTTGTGTTTGTGGGCCTGTTCCAAGAGTCAGAGCGCCCTGTAGCGCATGAATCTGGTGTGGAGTCAGAGCCGGATCCTCGTGATGAAGACGCAGCCAGGAGGTGCCTGAAATACACAGAACTCAGACCTCAACAAGAGTTAACCACCACCATCATCATCATCATCATCAGTGACCTCCCACCTTTCTTGACCCTCTGCCCCAGCGACACCAAAAGCTCCGCCCCCACACTGTGATTGATAGATTCTCCAACCTTAGACCGTCCGGCCCCCAACTTATGTAGGACTTCAGCTAAAACCAGACCGGCCACATCCAGAACTACACCTGCAGGAGAAGGGAGGTGTTAAAGTGGACTGTGGACAAACTTCAGTTTCTGCTCCATTCACCATTAATCAATGATCAGTCATTCATCTGTCACATTAACAATCTAAGCTGATCAGTTATGGTGTTTAGATGACAGTGTAACTGACCAAACATAGCTGATTGTGATGGATGATTTTCTGCAGGCTCTATGCCTCTGTTAGCCGATTCTATCTGGTGCCTCCTGCTTCTATTTCTTACCCTCTTCAGGCGTCTCCAGCTCAGTCTGATGGGCAGCTTTTCTCAGGATGCTGTAGTAGTCTGTGGGGGTGGAGCACAGTGCCCGCGCCGTCTCTGTAGCCACGCCCTGAGCCTCCATCATGGCCTGGAACTTGGACAGAGCTGCTCCAGTGCTCACAGCTTCAGAGAGCTTTTGTCTGCCAGTGGGTAGATCGGATACCAGGCCAGTCATCTGCAGCAGCAGTCCACCTGCACGGACATACAATGGGACATTACCTCGCAGTGAGTCTGTAGTTTGTGCAGTGATTTACTGGTTTTGCTACTGATGTTTTGTAACCTGCTATTTATTTTTGTCATACAGATGGTGAAACATGGAAAGAAACCCAGACTAACTGAGTGGAAATGCAAACACAAGGGTCACTGAAAAATCAGCTGATCATTGTCCTCATGATTCAATTCAGTTTTATTTGTATAGCTCCAAATCACAACGAAAATCATCTCAGGGCACTTTACAAACTAAGGTCCAGACCTTACTATTATTATTATAGAGGAAAATCCCAACAAATCCCCCTTGAGTAGCACTTCATTGATCAGTTTATCCCCAGTGTTAGGTATTTTCTTAGTTAGATAGATATTGATTAGAGATCTGTTGTATTAGAAAATGTTAGTGTAGACAGGATATCTTGCTCAGGCTGTTAAATGCTCAGTTCATTGTCATGAGTTCTGCAGGCTGCATGTGGGCCCCAAGGTCAACTAGAGTTC